TGGTCCTAACAGGAATGAAGTACTGACACACGCTATAACATGGATGAACTTTGAAAACAAATGCTAAGTGAAAGAAGCCACCACAAGGCCATATATTGTATGATTCCATTTATATGAAGTGTCCGGGACAGGCAAATCCATTGACAGAAAGTAGATCAGCGGTTGCTAGCAGCTAAAGGGAGGGGGGAATGAGGGAGTATTAATGGGTACAGGGTTTCTTGTTGAGGTGCTGAAAATGTTCTGGAATTAAGACAATGATGATGGTTGCACAATTCTGTGAAAGCCAATGAATTGTACATATTAAAAGGGTAAATTTTATGGTACATGAATTATATCTCAATAATGCTATTATTTTAAAAAGTAAAAGTAATACAATGTGAAAAGCAAGTTGAAAAGCAGTATAAACAACAGAACACACATATATTTATATTTGTATATATGCACATATGCACAGAAAAATACATCAAAGATTAATAGCAATTATTTCTGGGACTAGAGGCAACTGTTTTTTCATGGTATTTTTGACCCATTTTCTCAAATCAGTATGTATCACTTTTGCAATAAGAGTTAAAATGTGACTTTTTAAATGGGGGGAGGGTGTTTCAGAGAGCCAAAGCAGTTGAGAAGTCACAGAGATCAAGCCTGGCAGAAATATTCCCTTCAGCCCTGGCACTCTCTGAGCACCACGCAAAACAATTTAATCTCACGGGCTCCCTGTCCTCTAGAATTTCTCAACAAAACAACGGTGACACCAATAACACAGGAATTACAGATACCTATATTGTACAACAGTTCAAGTCATAAAGCTGAAGCATAAATTAGATTGTGCACACCCCAGGGGCATACGGCGATGACAAAGGAAAGGGCTGACAAGGCGTAAGAGTTGTGGCATAACATGTGCCTTTTATCTGTAAGCCAGAATCAAAACACAAAGAACCTCTGTTTTCCTTCTGAAATGTGAAGAATAAAAGGATACCCAAATTGTCTACTGCCCAGAAATATTTTCTAGAGTCTTAGAGTTCCTATATTTAAACCAAATGACTTTATTTTAAATTTACTTTTTTTTTTTACTTTTTGAAATAACAGCATAGGAGAGTAGCATAGTACCTAAGGGTACATAGTATGTAAAACAATAACTGGGTTCAAATCTCTGGCCCTGCCACTAATAACTAGGACGGAGATCTTGAGCAAGTTCTCTAAGCTTTCATTTCTTTATCTGTGAAATGGGGATAATAATACAAAGGATGAAGTAAGATAATGACTATAAAGGGCTTAGCATGGTACCTGGCGTAGAGAGAGTTCAATAAATCAAAATTATTATTATTACTTCAGGAGGAAAGCATGCTCACTGTAGAAAAGGAGAAAATGAATATCTAATAAAATTGGAATCATACTGTTTTGTAATCTGCTTTCTTCGATTTAGCAATATATTGTGAGCATCTCTCCCTGTCAGTTTATATATTTCTACCCCATTCTTTTTAGTGGCTGCAGAGCAGCTATAGAGTATTTCACAATTTATGGTGACCAATCTCCCATTATTAGACATGATGCTATTTCCAGTTTTTCTGCTATTATAAAAATACTTTCCTGGACACCTCTTTCTTTGGGCATGTCCTTAATTGTTTCCTAGAAATGGAACTGTATTCAAGCAACATTTCCTAATGGCAACTGAAAGCTGATGCAAAAGCTAAGGAGTGGGGCTCCTGAGTTGAAATCTGGGATAACCTGGGACAAGGTATTTCCCCAAGGAAATGAGATGAAAGCAGGGTATTAGGAGGTGCAGGGGATCACCGGTCAGAGAAGAGTGGGTGGGTTGTGAGAGATGCCAGGTCAAGGGAACGGCTCAGTAAAGGACCACACAGACGCCCCTCGGCATGGGCAGGCACGTATACCCGTGGCGGGATTCCCAGGAGGGATCGGCGCCGGCGGCCCAGCCTGGGCTCTGAATGACCCCGGGTCTGCAGCTGCCTTCCCGCTAACTGATGTGCCAGCAGCAGCTGCTCACCTCTCTGTCATCTCACTGCAGTGCTGGGCTCTGCGGTTTGATGTTCAAATATAGGGGGAAAGCAATTCCAGAAACCAAATATGACTGTCCCACATACTTCTCCACCATTAAGCAGTAAATGCAAAATTTGGAGGACAATCTCTGGGGTCCCCCAAGACTGTTCCTGTGTGAAGCCATGTCAGCCTGGAGGGGAGCTCTCTGCAGATGGAAAGCAAATGGATTCAGGGGATCCCAGTGCTGTTTCCTCCTCCTGAGAATTCCTACAACCTCCAGCTCAGCTCCGGGGTATGCACTTTGAGAGAAAGGCACAATGAACTAAAGCCAGCCGGAGGAGCAAGGAGGTTGTTAGAACCACATCAGAGAAGGGACAGCGGAAGGCCCTGGAGGCATTTCTCTTGGAGAAGAAATGTGAAGAAGGCATGAAGCTGTCCTCTTGAGAGAGGAAGAGAAATTAGTCTTGTAGCCACCACGACCCTCTAGGCTTCCAGTTACATCACTGTGAAACCAGCTGCTTATAAACCTCACCCCTTCCCGAAACCACAGCTCCCAAAAGGGAGTCTGTATGAGTCACTTCTGAGGCACCAGCAACTAACACACGGCCAGGACACGGAAAATGCTGAACTGAAAGAGGAAATGGCAGGAAGGCCTATTGTGGGTCAAGAAAGGGAAGGGCTTTCTAACAATCCCCGTTGCCTCCCACAGGCCAGGATGTTTGGGAGAAAGCCGTCAGCGAAGGGTCCGGTAGCAACAGAATGCCCTCACGCTAGCAAAAGGATGCAGAACAAAATGGCCCCGAGATTTCTTTCAATTCTAGGACCCAGTCTCCTCAAGCAGTGAGGGGAGCCACAAGCAGAGAAAATACACCAACAACGTGCCAGGCACACACATCCAGTCACTATCTTGTTAACCCTCACAATCCCTGGAGTAGGTAGGCATTATTATTATTACCATTTTACAGTGGAGAAATCTGAGGCTCGGAGAGGCTCAACAACTTGCCAAGCCATAGACCCAGTAAGAGGTAGGTCTGAAATACTAACCAAGACCACCAGGCTGCCACCGAGGCTGAGAGAGAACTGCCTTCCTGGCCATGCAGAGACAGCTCCAGTCCTTTGCAGCTGAAGGCTCTCCAAGGACAAGAGTTACTACCTGGCTTCATCTCCCCCTGATGCCAAAACTTTCCAAAAGCACGTTTACATCTATTAGCCCAAGAGCCCTCAGCCAACAGAACAGGTTTCTCTGAGCCCAGCTCTAGGGAAACACAGCTGGTCTAGAGCCATTTGTTCTGTGGGAGCCCAGCGGCTCCCCTCCTCTCTTAGACCCCAACCAAGGAGCACAAGATGCTATGGGAGGGGTCTGGGAAGTCTCCCCTGAAGGAAGCAACATCTGAGCTAAGCCTCAAATGATGAGCCGGACAAGCGAGGGAGCAGTGTGGGGCAGCAGAGGGGAAAGGGCATTCCAGACACAGGAAACAGCAGAAGCAAAGGCAAGGAAGCAAGAAATGCGTAGAGAATTACAAGCAGTTCGGTTGCCAGAACATAAAACTCAAATTGAACAGTGGAAGGACGTGGTGACCAAAGAGGCAAGCAGGGGCTGATAAATTATGAAGGACTTTGAATGCCATGTTAGGGAAGCCGGACTTGATTTATCCTGAGGGCAATAAGGAGCCAATGAAGGGTTTTACACAGGGCGGTGATAAGATCAGACCTCTGCATATGAGGCTGAGCTGTGGCAGTGAGACCGGAGGCGTGAAGGCGGTGTGGGGTGCTTAGGCTAAGAGATATGCTGGGCTTAGGCTGGCGTGTACTTCAAGGCTCCTGCACCATAATTCCCAGTCAGGGCCCAACCTTCCATTCTCTGGGCCCCTAATCCTACTCACACTGCCAAGGACCCAGGCCTACCCTACAATCTACTAATTTTAGGAAGCCTCCCACACACCTTCCTTTAATGATATGACTCTCTAGGGAGAAGAATAATGCTAATCACTAACCTCACTCCATTCCAGGCACTATGCTGGGTCCTTAACACAAACAATCTCAGTTGTGCAACCAACAACCCTTTGAGGGAGGTTCCTATCGGTATCCCCGTTTTTGCAGAAGAGGAAACTGAAGTTTAGAAGGGGTTGCGTGCCAAACGGCATCCAGCTACTACAGGGAGGAGTCAGGATGTGAACCGACTTCTGCCTGGCGGCAGGGGCTGCTCTGTGGAGAGTAGAGAGGAAGAGGAGGGAGCGATGAGGGTTCTATGTCCCGGGCTTCCGCGAAGTCCCCGGAGGAAAATAGTGGGCGGAACCAGAAAGGCTAGACGTGGGAAGCCAGACCCCAAACAAAGGAATCAGAAGGGCCCCTGCTCTCCCTCCTTCAGCTACCAGGAGAAAGACAAGAGCGTGGCCTTGAAAACTCCGATTGAAAAGACCAAAAGAAAAAAGGCCCCAAAAGAGCAGGGGACGCAGGGAAGGGAAGAAGCTCCAACAGGTTGAGCGCCCGGGGGCGGGGCTTACAAGGGGGCGGAGCTCTCTGAGCCAGACCGAGTCCAAGACCAGCGGGACCCTGCGCGGGGGGCTGGCCGCGAGGGGGCGGGGCCGGGAGGGGCGGGGCCACAGCTGCGCTAGCGACCCACAGACTCGTTAGGTCCCCTCCCCACGACGGGACCGACCCTCATTCCATACCCCGGCTCCGGCAGGGCTGATCCGGGATCTCGATGATGTAGTCCAGCTCAGCCGAGGGCATGGTGACGGTGCCGGCCCTCCTCACGGGCCTGCCGCCGGAACTCCCGCTCGCGCGCTCGCACCTCACCCGGGCGACTCCTGGACACTGCCCAATCACCACCCACCTCGCCCAACGCCGCCCAATCCGTGGGCGCGCTCTGTGACCTCCCACCCTAGCAACCACCGAGTCTCTCTCGGAGCCTCTGGCCGCGCCCCTCTAGCTTGGCCCTAGCAACCATGCCCCGCCCCACTCTATCCATGGCCCGCAGCTATTGGCTGACTTGCTTGATGTGGGTTAGGTATTGGTCAGCCTGGACGCCGGTCAGGAAGAGTCCCCACCCTCCTGTGTAGGTAAGAGGGTCTGCGTGAGAGTTGCTCTATTTGGGAGTGGAGAGGGTCTCCTTTCTCAACTGCGTGTTACCCTACGGGGTGGACAGTGCCCTGCATTTACCTCGTCTAACTACCTCTACCATCCCCTATTATCGCAGCTCCGACAACGGGAGGTAGAAAACCGTACAAAACGGCCGAGGGGGGCGCGTGCCGGCCTATCCGCTCAGTGGAGCGAGGCATATTCTGATGGGGTGGGTAGGAAGCAGTGGGGAAAACTACAGAGGAAGACTTTAGAGAATGCTCTATTCGCGGGGGACACAAAGGGGTTAAGTAATACAGTTTTCTTGCATTTATCCATGAATTTAGCGAATACCGAGCACCTATTATGTAGGTGGGCTCTAGTGAGGATTAAGCTTTTGACTCTGACTTCCATAAGTCTTAAAAGGAGAAGGGGGGAACTATTCATTAACCAGTTCTAACTGTGTGCGCTCAGCAAGCGTTGAAGGGATATTATGGCAAGCGGGGATGGCTCTTGAGGTGGAACTTGGAGATACGGAGGAGAAAGGACTCTTTACGGGAACTCAAACTGAGTGCCAAAACTATCAGCCTCTGGCCAGAGGAGGTACGAATGTGAAAGTAACCTTAGAAAACAGTTAGGGGCTCATCTTGGAGGGCCTTTGATGCCAAGCTCAGCTTTGAATTTATAGGTAAATCTTGTTGATGGTAAAAATTTTCCAGTGTGTTCCTATGAGTGCAAGAGCTTATCCTGAGAACACTGGGGAGTCACTGAAGGGCTTCAGCAGAGGAGTAACAATCATATTTGTGTTTTAGAAAGATCGATGCAGAGGAGGGATTGGGGATTGGGAGGAGGAAGATGAGTTAGGAGTTGTTTTCGGCAATGGGGATGGGTTACGATGTCCTAAAGCATGGAATGGTATCAGGAATGAAGAGGGAGGGGATGGATTCCTTAGACACTTACGAGCCGAAAAGAACTGCACGTGGTGCCTGGTGAGGCAAGTAGGAGAAAGGAAGGATGACTTCTAAACTAGCTTGGGCAAACAGAAAGGAGAGGGAGCAGGGGTTTTAGGAGAGGGTAAGTTCTGGGCCTGGCAAAATTTGAGGTGCCAGTGGGACATCCAGGTGGAGGTGTCCAGGAGGCAGTTGAGCATGTCTGACTGGAGTCTGCAAGATAAGTCTAAACTGGAAGTAGAGAGGTGGCAGTCCGTAGTGCCTACCAGATGCCTGCCACCCCAGTGGATTGACTTAGTGAGCTGGCCCAGAGAGTATGTGTGGAATAAGGAGAGAAGAGAGTGAGGACAGATCGCTAAGAAGCTGAAGTCTGAGGGCAAAAGGGAATGAATCTGCAAGGTAATTGAGATGAAGTGTCCAGAGTGGTAAGATAATCAGAAGTAGAATGTGGTATTTCAAAAGCCACGGGAGGAAAGTGTTGAAGGCTGATGACTAATAAAATAAGGTCTGAAAAAATCCACTGGATTTAGAAACAAGGAAGTTGTCGGTGACTTTTTCAAATGTAGTTTCAGGGGAGTACGGAAGCAGAGGTCAAATTACAGTGAGTTGAGAAGTAGATGGAAAGATGAGAAAGCGAACACGGCGTGTACAATACACTTTCAAGATGGTTGGCTCTTTAGGAGAAAAAAGAAAGATAGTTGCCCTGACCGGTTTGGCTCAGTGGATAGAGCGTCGGCCTGCGGACTGAGGGGTCCCAGGTTCGATTCTGGTCAAGGGCATGTACCTTGGTTGGGGCACATTCCCAGTGGGGGGTGTGCAGGAGGCAGCTGATTGATGTTTCTCTCTCATCCATGTTTCTAACTCTCTATCCCTCTCCCTTCCTCTCTGTAAAAAATCAATAAAATATATTTTAAAAAAAAAAGAAAGATAGCAATAGCTGGAAGGAGACACAAGTTTTTATTCAGATGGGAGAAATGCTGTTGGCATGGATCCAGATAAAGGAAAAAAATTATAGAGAAAGAGAGATAACTGAGAAAGTGGCAATCCTGAAAAAAGAATGACATAAGGAACCCAAAGCACTGGTGGAGAAATTCACTTAGGTGGCATGAGTCCTGGCCTGTGTTTCTCAGTGGTTAGAGCATCAGCCCGTGCACCAAAAGATTGCAGGTTCGATTCCCTATCAGGGCACATGCCCAGGCTGCAGGCTCCATCCCCAGTAGGGGGCCTGCAGGAGGCAGCTGATCAATGATTCTCATCATTGATGTTTCTATCCCTCCCTTCCTCTCTGGAATCAGTAAATATATATTTATAGATTCTCAAAACACTTTGCAGCTTAATAAAATACAGAAAAATAAATATATGTATACTTAATTATTTTTTTCTTTTTAAGTCTTATTTTTTTTAAGTCTTATTTTAAAAAAAAGAAAGTGGAATGATGACGTTTAATTAGTTCCAAGTGATGACGAGGTCCAGAGTGTGGCCATGGGAGTGTGTGGCTGAAGTAAAGTACAGAAGACGTTCAAGTGTAGACATGACCATTGAAATCTTCCTGGATGATGGCAGGACTTGAGGGAAAAGGGAAAAGGATGCTTGTGACCTAGGTACCGAAGTCCCTGAAGGAAGTGGTTGTTCTGGAATCTGTAGATGACAGCATGAGGAGGGGTAAAGGTCACTACAGCTGCATGGCATGACCCTCAAAGTAGCAAAAATTTTTAAAGAAGGTGATGGAATAAGGAGCTGGGTTGGGCTTTGGTGAGGAGACACTAGCCCCACTCTCAAGCCTGACGTTCTTAGGGGATAAGGGTATAAAGCAGTGATGGCGAACCTATGACACGCGAACTCATTTTTTTGGTTGATTTTTCTTTGTTAAATGGCATTTAAATATATAAAATAAATATCAAAAATATAAGGCTTTGTTTTACTATGGTTGCAAATATCAAAAAATTTCTATATGTGACACGGCACCAGAGTTAAATTAGAGTTTTCAAAATGCTGACACGCCGAGCTCAAAAGGTTCGCCATCACTGGTATAAAGTCTCCACCAGGGAGGGCTATGCAGAAGTGGCACCCTGAATAGAGGCAGATTTCTGGGCAGACTGGAGGTAGGCAGAGAGACTGTGGAGAGGCTCAGAGTGGAGGAGACTTTCCTGATCAGGAACAAAGGCTTTCAAGGGAGAGTAAGAAGGTTGGGAAGGGAAGGAAAGGTAGGAAATCCAGGCAAAGAGCAATGAAGGATGAGGAGAATGTGGGTAGAGGTTGTGGTTGATGTAAAGAGTTGCATTTTGAGGGGAGAGCATGAGGACAGATCTGTGGTGTGCAGCTGGGGGCAGAAGTGAGACGTGGGAGAAGAAAAGACGGATCTGGGTAGAAAATGAGGGTAGGTCTGGGGAGAGGATGAAGGCAGAGGGTTTTGCAGGAAGGAGACGGGGCGGGAATGGCCTATGAGGAGAGGATGGAAGGAAAGGCAACTGTGGGGAAGAAATGGGTGGCAAGAGGGGTCTGTAAGGAGGGTATGAGTCAGGAGCAGAAGCTAGGGAGTCTGTGAGAAGGAAGTGACAAATTGTAATGCATTTGCCCTGAGGTGGAAGTAAGGACCAGGACACACCCTCCTTGGCTCAGGCTGAGGTTTGGAAGAACGTTTCTTTATTTCTCCGTCCTGGCCCCCTTCCCTCTCTTTCTCTCTGAACGGGGAGCTGAGTGAGTAGTGGGGATGGGAGCCGAGGAGGATGCCTCTGTCCCATTCTGTAGGTGAAACTTGCAGTCATAGCCCACAATGACTGCCTTGTGGTTTCCAAGGCCACCTGGGGACAGTGAGCCAGGCTGGCAGCCCATGCCCTGGAGGCTTCTTGCTTTTAGAAACATGTCTTTTGTTTGGGGAAATGGGGAGGAGAGAAATTTTTTTTTTAGAAACAAGACCTGATTTTATAATACCTCTTCTCGCTGGTGGCTAAGGACCCTTGGCTTAGTATAAGGGCTGAGATTTTGAGATTCTGTAATTTTAGTTTCCCTGCATGAAAGAGTACCATTTGGCTGCTATAGAAATGATTTATAGATGGGTCCAGATTTATTAATCACCTCTGAAGATGGAAAGGAAATTAAAAACAGAGTCCACTCTGGGCTGAAGACAAAGTAGGTTTGTCGTCCTTGCAGAAGATCTTGCCAAGGTCAGAAGGCCACAAACAAACCAATTTGGACCGAGGTTCCTAATCCGGATTTTAATTTCATGTGCTTTGATTATTCAGACCATTTTCTCTCCAAGGTAAAATAATGACTGTTTTAATTGGCTGCCACTTACCGAGAGAGTCCAATAAGCATGATGGCATCCGTGTATTTTTCTCTGGCATTCCGTGTGTGCCCCAGTTCTTATGATCAAGCTGGTGAAGCTGACTTTTACTGCATGCTGCATGCCATGACCAGTTGACTATAAATTACATTCTCTTTTCCAAAAGCCATTTTCCATTAGTGCTAATTTGTTTGCTTCTCATTTCCACTGATCATTAGAGTCTCTGGTTGTGAGCACCAAATTGGAAATAATTTCTTTGACATTTCAAAAAAATTTCTCCCCTCCTTGAATGCCATTTGGCCGCAGCTAAAGAACATTATGGTTTGCAGAGGAACAGTTCACTCCAATTACAATTTAACTGACCGTTCATGGCACTGAATCCCTGTCCTTAGTGTCCAAAGATGACACTGCTGCTGACATTGCGATTTCCTGTCATAGCTGTAAAATGCCTCATAGACTGCACTGGCCTCCTTGGCCGGAGATGCTGCCACTCTGCACATGGCAGCTTTGGGAAGTTGGTCATTTTATGGACCTACATATCATGGACATTCAGATATAACCATCTAAACAGGCGCTGGCTGATTTCTTCTCTCATTCATCCAGCGAGCATTTATTAAACATCTATTTTGTGTCAGGCGTTAGGCCAGACCCTGAGCGCATAAAGATAGGGAAGACCAACCCCTGCCCTTGAGTACACTCTAGTAGAAGGGACGGTTAAGTTTTGCAGCATAGCAGGGGAAGAGGTGGCATAGGTGAGCCACAGAACCTA